AGGCGGTTGTGGCGGGGTCGGGGCCCGGGAGGCTTGGGCGTCACCGGCCGAGCGCACGCTTTCCCCAGGAGCTCGGCCTTTTGGCCTTGGCCGGGTCGGATTGGGCCGGCCTGGGCGAGGGCTCTGCCGAGGAGAGCGGGTCAGTTAGGTAACGGCTCCTGGGGCTCGGCCCTGGAGAAAGGGAGTGGGGTTTGAGAAGTGGGTTTTCCCCGCCAAGCTGAATCGAGTGCACTTCCCCGCCCTTGCTGAGCAGGTACGTCCCTTCCCGAGGAAGAGGTGGGCGAGGACCTAGTAGGGGTGCTAGTAGGGGTGCCGCAGCAGCCAGCCACGTTCCTCTGCCTGTGGCCGGGGTGTGGAGGACACCTATCTGCCCTCGGGAAACATGCTGGATTCCCTCGTCCCACTCCACTGGGCTCCGTTTCAAACTCGTTTGCTCCTGGTGATCACTCGTGCTCCTTATCCCTGTTGTAAAGGCCGATCCCCTGCCCTTACTCCATTAGGGTCACTACAGGATTTCTGTGAAAAGAATGTGAATCACGAGTTAAATGAACTGTAGTTTTAACCCTGGAGAACTTAGAGTGGCACAACACAACATTGTGTTAATATGCCTATTGGACACTTCAGTGTATTGCTGCCCCATTAATTTTGTTTGAAACCCACACAAATTAGTAAAGGAAAGAATGATTAAAGGAAAATGTGGCAAAGTTTTTCCCCCTAGTTACCAAATTACATGAAGTAAACTGAACTATACTTTGCTAAAGCATTGTTGGCCAGCACACTTAAAAGATGAAATGTCAGGCCAGAAAACCCACTTGAACAAAATAAAGTTCAGTTTTTACTTGACAACGTGGTGGTTTGAAATACAAAGGGAAAGCATATTTTTGGGTTTAGTTGTGAGGTTTTGCTTTTTGTTTCTTTCCTTAAATTTAATTGGACAAAGTATTTTGGAGAATCCCGTTTTACTTAAGTTCTGTTTTGTTCATTTCTTCCCAGGAGTTTAAGATTCTACTAACGATAATTTAGACGGGTAGTTACTTAAAACAGAGCCAAGTTTCCTTAACAAATGGTCTTTTAAATTGAATTTTAAAGTGGAAATCTACACCATTGTAAGGAGATCAAAGTATTACCAACTATGGTTTTCTAAGCCTTAAAACCTTCTCTTGTCTTAGGTCCTAGCATTTTGAGTATCTTCAGTAGTGATTTTAGAATGGTCTCATTCATAGTTTTAAATTTTTTTCACCCAGTTTTTTTCCTAACTAAATCTTTAAAATGATTTCCAATTTTTATAATATAGTAATTTATGATTTGATTGAAAATGGGAAATAGTTGATGGGTCTAACTTTTAGAAACAAAATGAGTGTAAATTCCTTTAGTTTGTGGTTCCTCGAGCCATTATACGTAAGGAATGTAAAATTGCCTTAACATCAGTTTTCTGGGATGCTTTTAATTAGAAGAATGAATTACCGTAAAGTTTTCTAATCTAGCAGGGCATACTTAATGCACTAGTAAAATTTGTATCTCTTTAATAGCTTATTCCTGCCCATTTTCAAATCAGACTGGTATATTTTATTCTCTAATAGGAAGCCTATTTGTTTTTTATATGTTTTTAAGTTTTTATTTTAATTTCAGCTGTTTAACATACAGTGTAGTATTCATTTCAGGTGTACAATATAGTGATTCCATCACCCAGTGCTCATCACAAGTGCCTTCCTTAATCCCCATCACCT